ATCCCAGCTACTCGCAAGGCTGAGGTGAGGGGATTGCTTGAATCAGGGACTTAAGGGTGGCAGTGAACCAAGATCGCAGCCCTGCACTCCAGCCTGGGAGACAGAGCAAGACTCCATCTCAAAAAAGAGTGCCTTTACTTATTAAATCAAAGCAGATGTCTAACAATTAAGAATATACTTAACTGGGCTCCTTTTCGTTTGCTGATGGTAACCTCCGGGGATTCTCTGTTTCAGAGGGCCCCCCCAACAGGAAACTTCGCAGTGATGCACCAGGTACCATGCCTTCAGCTTCGCAGCTGTGTGTTGTCTCAGTATCCATTTCCTTTCTGCCCAGTGCGCCCCTCTGCCCACCCCGATTTTTAAACCCTTGCACATTTCCACGAAATTCCTGCAAAATCTGAAGGCTTGGATATCTTAGTGCAAAGCTGTCTTTCATTGAAACCAAGATCAGGATGACAAATTGACCTCATCTCTTGACCCACTGTCCTTCCTGCCTCTGGCCAGTGCATGTGACATGACACCCAACAGTGTGCCCTTATCACTGCATCTTGACGAGATGTCAGAGGCTGTGTGTGGCTTGGATTTTTCTTCATGCCAAAAGCCACTCTTACACTGTCAGGGCACTCAGCAGTGCTGTCCTCCCTTGTCCAGTGAAGATACTCCACTGAGTGAATATGACAGTTCCACTATCTGGGCACATTCCTAGAGAATGTATTTGGCTTCTAGTTGGCTGGTCTGGGTCACAAGTCAGAAATCACAAAGTTCATGGTAACTGCAGCGCAGCAACCAGTCCTCCCACGATTCAGCTTTCACAGGCTTGTCCGCAAAGGAAATGAGCTCACTGCGATGTCTGACAAATGTCGGGGGCTGCACGTGGCTTGAATGATGTCTAACTACAAACTGCATTTTCAGCACATGGGGTGGAAGCTGACCACCGCAAAGCCAAGCACAGTCCTGGCAGAGCCTTTTCTGGAGACTTCACGGGCACGTACTGTTCAGGGAATGGGGAATGGACACCCAAGACTCGAGGATGTACACAGGGCCCTTCCCAAGAAAGCACAAAGAGGTCTCTGCTTCTCTGGGACTTGAAAAACTTTTTTTTTGAGACGGAGTCTCGTCTCCCAGGCTGGAGTGCAATGACGCAATCTTGGCTCACTGCAACCTCCGCCTCCCGGATTCAAGCGATTCTCCTACCTCAGCCTTCTGAGTAGCTGAGATTACAAAAACCCGCCACCTCGCCCAGCTAATTTTTGTATTTTTATTAGAGATAGGATATCACCAGGTCGGCCAGGCTGATCTCCAACTCCTCACTTCAGGTGATCCATGCACCTTGGCCTCCCAAAATGCTGGGATTACAGGCATGATGAACAACTTTTCATAGGTGAAGTTAGGCAATGTGGATCTGACTTCTTTCACCTCGTGGAGAGGCCAAACCAACCGTCATTTGTATGCATGTTCATTTTTGGAGAATCTCAACTTTGCTGTCACCACCAAAATACTTAAATTTTAGCATGGGGTGAGGTCTTGTTAAGAGCCAGTTTTGTGGGGGAGCAGATGAGGCTCTGGGACACTTCGAGCAGCTCTCCTGCCGGCTCATTGGGATCACAGGATAAGACGAATTCCAGGGTTGGCTGAAGTGCAGAACCCACCGGTCAGTGGGAAACCAAGTCCTTGCAAAGCAGCAGGTGCTTACATTCAAGTTAATTCCTGAGGCCTTGGATAAGTTGGGTCCAGGAATAGAATCCAAATGCTAGGCCAGGCGCAGTCTCTCACGCCTATAATCCCAGCACTTCGGGAGGCCGAGGCAGATGGATCACTTGAGGTCAGGAGTTCAAGACCAGCCTGGCCAACATGGTGAAACCTTGTCTCTCCTAAAAATACAAAAATTAGCCAGGTGAGGTGGCACACATCTGTAGTCCCAGTTACTCAGAAGGCTGAGGCGAAAGAATCGCTTGAACCTGGGAGGCAGAGGCTGCAGTGAGCCAAGATTGCGCCACTGCACTCTAGCCTGGGTGAGACAGTGAAACTCCATCTCAAAAAAACCCACAAAAAAACATTCTCCAGGATCAGACCCTTTAAGAAAACCTTTAGAGGGGGTCCCTTAGTTCCTGTAACAGGTATAGTTGGTGCCAACCTTGGTCTAGAATTTGAAACCAGTTCCAAGAAAAGCACTTGAGCCAAAACAGAGTGTCTTGCAGGCTGACAGCCAAGCAAGCAGCTTCCAATGACCCAGGGCACAAGGTATTTCTTAGGTCAAGGGAGCCAAGGGAGCAAATTTATCCATTAAGCTTTTCCAGCTAGCAAATGGACTCTTCCAAGAGCCAAAAAGTGTGCCTGGAGCACTGATGAGGAGGTTAGGGACTACTTCTCAGCTCCAGGTTAGCTCATCTGGTTTTTTTTTTTTTTTTTAAAGACAGTTTTGCTGTTGCCCAGGCTGAAGTGCAGTGGCGCAATGTTGGCTTACTGCAGCCTTTGCCTCCTGGGTTCAAGCGATTCTCCTGCCTCAGCCTCCTGTGTAGTTGGGATGACAGGCGCCCACCACCACGCCCGGCTAATTTTGTATTTTTAGGAGAGATGGGGTTTCACCATGTCGGCCAGGATGGTCTCCAACAAATGACCTCAAAAGCGATCCACCCTGCCTCGGCCTCCCAAAGTGCTGGGATTACAGGCATGAGCTGCTGCACCCGGCCAGCCCATCAGGTTTTGAACCTGGAGTTAAAACTGTAAGGAAGCAAGCTGTGTGGGGAGCGTACAGGGAATGGCCAAACTGCTGCTGCTGTCTGCTCTGAATTTGGGGATCCTTCTGAGTCAAGTGCTTGCAAGACAGTGCTAAAAGACAGACTTGAGGGTCACGTCTAGAGAGAGAAGGATGGAGAGTTCTCTAGCACGGCTGCAAGTCCAGAAGCTTCTCTGTGAAGCTGGACTAGGAGTGTTTACTTTGGAGTGGCTGCAACTTTTAAGTCTTTATTCCTGATTCCTGCACTGCCGGAAGCCCCCTCCTTTACAGCCAGGTGGGCTTTCCCAGCTGGGGCCTCTCCCATCTTCTGTCAACAAAAGGGTCATATTGGGAGTTCCTCTTCTCAGCGATCATGAATCTCTGGGTCTTGCTTACACCTCTAATCTTACCTGTCTGAGTTGTTCCTTTTTTGAGACGAAGTCTCGCACTGTTGCCCAGGCTGGAGTGCAGTGGCGCCATCTCAGCTCACTGCAAGCTTCATCCCCCAGGTTCATGCCATTCTCCTGCCTCAGCTTCCGAGTAGCTGGGACTACAGGCACCCGCCACCACACCTGGCTGATTTTTTTGTATTTTAGTAGAGACGGGGTTTCACCATGTTAGCCAGGATGGTCTCGATCTCCTGACCTCGTGATCCGCCCGATTCAGCCTCCCAAAGTGCTGGGATTACAGGCATGAGCCACCGCGCCCGGCCGAGTTGTTCCTTTTGACTAAAGAATCAGTCACTGAGTTGTGTTCATCCTTGTGGCTTCTTGTCCAGCCTTTGTGTAGGGAGCAAAAGTCTGCTTGCTTCTTTGATGTCCTAAAATAAGACCTGTCTTCCAATTCAGGTCAAACAGGGCCACGTGGCCAGAACCCAACATGATTATTTGTTGCAGTCGCTGAAGAGAGTTAAGTGTTTCTTCCAGACAGTGCAGGTCAGCAGCAAGGCCGGTCTGATTTTTCCTCCTCCTGCCCACTCCCTTCCTCCTACCCAAAGTCTCCCCTCACATGACCAGCCCTTCTTGTGAAGTCGAGGTGATAAACTTAGAGAACCAGGGCAGAGAGGAGATGGGAGTAGTAAGGAGAGAGAGAGGGGTGTCCTACCGGCTGGAGCTAAAATCCACCTCGGAGGCCAGGCGCACTGGCACACACCTCTAATCCCAACACTTTGAGAGGCTGAGACAGGTGGATTGTTTGAGGCCAGGAGTTCGAGACCAGTCCGCGTCACATGGCAAAATCCCCCCTCTACTAAAAATACAAAAATTAGCGAGGAGTGGTGGTATGTGCGTGCCTGTATGCCCAGCTACTCAGGAGGCTGAGGTTTAAGGATCGCGGGAACCCAGGAGGCGGAGGTTGCAGTGAGCCAAGATCATGCCACAGCACTCCAGCCCGGGTGACAGAGACTCTTGTCTTCACATTTTTTTAAATCCACTTTGGAGGCCAGGTGTGGTGGCCCACACCTGTAATGCCAGCACTTTGGGACGCCAAGTTAGGAGCACTGCTTGAGCCCAGGAGTTCAAGACCATCTTGGGCAACAATATCAAGACCTCCTCTAAATAAAATAATCCACCTTGGATTAACACGTATCATCTCCTTTTCTGATAATCATTGGACACCCGTTTTATGCCATGTGTGGTGTGTTCCACGGTCAGCTAAACAGATGCAGCAGTCCCTGCGGTAGGGAAGACTCAGTCCAGGAAGCTCCACACCAGCAAGAGGCGCTGTCCCGCCTTTTAACCAGGGAGCCTCTGTGTCCCTCACCTCCCCCTCTCTCAAGGCTGCCCTTGTCCATTTCACCTTCCAATTCAAACCTTGAAAACCCACCTCTAAGGCGAATGGGGGTGAGGACATACGGAAGAGAAACAGTATGTTCTCTCTTCATCTCTGCCCCGTGGGCTATGAATAAAGTCAGAAGACAAAATCCCCTACTTGGTTTTTGGGGTTTTTTTCCTATTCTAAATCAAAGACCAGAATCCTGGGGGTTCTCAAATGACCAAGCCTGACATTTTTAAAAGCAGATAGTCTTGCTTTGAAAAACCTTTTCCACTCCCCACAACCAATTTCAGCTGATTAAATTCAATCAATCATGCCTTAAGACTGGCCAGGATTTGTTGACTTCAACTTGAATATCTGCATCTTATTTGTGCCGTGTTTTCTGCCATTAAAAAATAGATGTCTATTGCCATAGGACTACAGCTACAAGTTTAAAATAGATTTATAAAAAATCTATCCCAACCATGACGGTTTCTTTGCTAGAGAAATATGTTTCCTTACAACCCACAGGCGAGGAAACGAGACCTCTTTCGTTCCTTCTAGAAGGTCTGGAGGACGTCGAGTTATTGAAAATGCAGATGGTTCTGAGGAGGAAATGGACACTCGAGATGCAGACTTCAACGGAACCAAGGCCAGTGAATAAGCAACTTTATAGAGTTTTGCACCACGGCAAGAAAAACCAAAAACCAAAGAACCCGAAACAAAGCAAAACCCAGCAGACTGTACTTAGCATTGTCTAAATCCATTCTCAAATTCCAAACATCACAGACACCTTTCACACAAGAAATACAAAAACCACCACCCTCCAGCCTGGGCAACGTAGTGAAACCTTGTCTATCCAAAAATTTAAAAATAAGCTGGGCGTGGTGGTACACGCCTGTGGTCCCAGCTACTACAGAGGCTGAGCCAGGAGGATCGCTCGAGCCCAGGAGTTCGAAAATGCAGTGAGCTGTAATTGCATCACTGTACTCCAGCCTGGGCAACAGAGATCCTGTCTCAACAACCCCCACCCCCACTACCCCTGTATTCTAGGTATAAATTGAATTTCATATGATGTAAGGGACGAGAAAAACCCAACAGGAAACAGACACATCCTCCAGTTCTATGGATTGTGCAGACATTGAGTTTCTAGAAAAACATATCCATGGTAACTGGTCCCTGGCAATTTTGTTTACATGAAATGGGGAGAAAGTCACCAAAATGGGTGTCGCCGCCACCCCCCCCCCTTCATTCCCTAACCTGCGAACCTTTCCAACTTCTCACATCAGGCCTTTGAGACTTCTTTCCTCCTCTCCTGGTTTCCACACCTCAGACACGCACAGTTCACCAAGTGCCTTCTGTAACCACATGAATTGAAAAGGAGACGCTGCTCCCACGGAGGGGAGCAGGAATGCTGCACTGTTTACACCCTGACTGTGCTTAAAAACACCTTCACTAATAAACGGTTATAAATCACAGTGTCGTTGGCTGTTCTGTTGAGCCGCCTTCTAGAGAGGAAAAGAAGTTGGGGAAAGCTGGGTTTTGCTTCATTGTCCCAAAGACTCTCTGATGTCAGGGTTATTTCATGAATGGAGTAACTGAGGCCTAGAGAGGTGAAATCAATTGCCTATGACCCCACAGCCAGTAAAAGAGCAGAGCAGAAATGCAAAGCGAGACTAAGGGGGTTATTGGGCCGTTCGGCGGGGTGGGCGGGGGAAGAGAAATAAGGTGATGTGTGGTCCAAGGGCCACTGCCCCCTGCCTTGAAGATGACTGGGAAGAACATCTTCACTCATCAAAACCAGTATCATATGAAAAATACAGGATTTCCTTGATTTTTTAAGTTAAAACACAAGGTCTTCCCAATGAGTCAGTAAACACTTTCTACAAAAGGTCATATGGTGGCTGGGTACAGTGGCTCACACCTGTAATCCCAGCACTTTGGGAGGCGGAGATGGCAAGATCACTTGAGGCCAGGAGTTGGAAACCAGCCTGGCTAAGAGAGACCCCCTTTCCTATAAAAAAAAAAAAAAAGTTTTTGTAAGTAAACCAGGCAGGATAGTGCACACCTGTACTCCCAACTAATTGGAAGGCTGAGGCAGGAGGATGTGAGCCAGAAGTTCGAGGCTGCAGTGAGCTATGATCATGCCACTGCACCGCAGCCTAGAACAGTAAGACCCTGTCTCACACACCACCACCACCCAGTCAGATAGTATTTTAGCCTTTACAGGCTACATACGGTCTTGCCAAATATTCATTTTTTAAAACAACCCTTAAAAACATAATAAATCATTCTTAGAGTAAGGGCCATAAAAACAAGCTGTAGACCCTATCCTTCTTTCAGCTTGAGTGTTTTACACAGACATGCCTGCAAGGCTCTGTTCAACACAAACGATGAGGTATACCACCAACTCCGTGGGATCAGACAGATTTGGGAGACCGGAAACATGGCAACGGAGGACTCCACCCTGCGACCAGATGCTAATATGCCTTGAATGACGCACAAACACATCCCATGTACATTTCTAAAAACCTGGCTTGAATAGAAAATTTTAAAAAGATTTTTTCACATTGTATGACTTGGCTAAAAAAAGTTTTTCACCACTCATTGAGAAAACATGGAAGTACAAACATACAAAGCCTCTTTGACCACCAGCCCAAACCAGTTCAACATTCACTTCTCTTGATTTTATTGATCTTTTAAAAAAATAAAAGGACATCTTTTATGGATACAGGTTAGGATGTTTCTAGGGTAAGAAACCCACCATCGCAGTTTAATTCTCTGCGGAATTTCAGTAGCACTTGGAAAGTTCTGCTTTCAACCTGAAATTTTTGCTGTTCTTCCAGAAAATAACTTAGTAACAAAATGAAGGCCGTGAAGCTGCAGGCACACTCCAGAAATTAGTGTGTTAACTTGTGTCCCAAAGAGACAGCAGTTCCTAACACGCAGTGATGAGTGGACACACCGTGGTGTGTTGGAAATTCCGTGTTCACGTCTTTGACAAGGAAGCCTCCAACAATGATCTCGCGCTTTATTCTTATTTGAAGATCACCCTGGTTACTTCATTATGACTTTGAATGAAGTCCTGCTTAGTGGCTGCATTACCATGGCCACCCCCAAAGACCCTTCGGGGTCCTGAGGCAGAATTCCCCCCGCCCCACCAGGGGACTCAGGAAAATGAATGATTACAGTTTGCCAAGAGGACAGATTTCCCACTGACGCTGGTTGGTCTGGAAAATTACTCTGAAAACTCAAACACACCTCTAGAAATCTCAATGAGAAGCAGGCTACAGTCTCAGGTTTATGCCACTTTTTTTTTTTTTTTTTTTGGAGACGGAGTCTCGCTCTGTTGCCCAGGCTGGAGCACAGTAGCGCCATCTTGGCTCACTGCAACCTCCGCCTCCCAGGTTCAAGCAATTCTCCTGCCTCACCCTCCCAAGTAGCTGGAATTACAGGTGCCCACCACTGCACCCAGCTAATTTTTTGTATTATTAGTAGAGATGGGGTTTCACCATGTGGCCAGGCTGGTCTCGAACTCCTGACCTCAGGTAATCCACCCACCTTGGCCTCCCAAAGTGCTAGGATTATAGGCCTAAGCCACCACGCCCGGCCTATTCCACAGTTTTTAAAAGGGCATGTGACCGTTCTGTTCTTGGTTATTATACATGATTTCAGTACACCACAAAGCACTGAGAAATTTTGTTCTGGAAGACAATTCCAGCTGGTTGGGGGCTGGGAGAAGAGTCTCTGAGAGAAGCTCCATCCCACATTTAAGGAGACTTGGGACATTAACACCACCTGTCAAGACCAATCGGGGCCAGGCGCGGTGACTCACGCCTGTAATTCCAGCACTCTGGCAGGCTGAGACGGGAGGATCACTTGAGGCCAGGAGTTCAAGACCAGCCTGGCCAACATGGTGAAACTCCGTTTCTCACTAAAAATACAAAATTAGCGGGTGTAGTGGTACACTCCTGTAGTCCCAGCTACTCAGGAGGCTGAGATAGGAGAATCATTTGAACCTGGGAGGCAGAGGCTGCAGTGAGCCGAAATCGCACCACTGCACTCCAGCCTGGACGAGACAAGGCAAGAGCATGACTGTCTCAAAAGAGTAAGAAAAAAATAAAAAAAGACCAATCAGGACTCTGCTTGGCTTAGCTCAACATGATGGGGTATGGGAGCAACGGTTCACGCTTGAAATCCTAGCACTCTGGGAGCCCGAGGCGGGAAGATCACTTGAGGCCAGGAGTTCAAGACCACCCTGGGCAACATGGCAAAATCCCGTCTCTACTAAAAATACAAAAAATTTAGCCAGGCCTGGTGGTGGGTGCCTGTAAATCCTAGCTACCTGGAAGACTCAGGCACAAGAACGGTTTGAACCCAGGAGGCGGAGGCTGCAGTGAGCTGAGATCATGCCACTGCACTCCAGCCTGGGTGACAGAGTGAGACTCTATCTCAAAAACAGAAACAACAGGGTAGCCTCATCACCAACACCTTAGAGCCCTTCCCAGAGAACCCCATTTGTCCCTCTTTGCAATGCACACAGTGGCAGGCAGGGATGAGGAGACATTTCCCAGGGACAAACCCCAGAGCACAGGTGATGGCCTCAGTCATTGGCTTGGGCCGCAAAGCTAACTACGGAGACTGCTCTTATTTCTCAAACTAACTTAAAATAAAACCTAGTGTAAAAAAGACGACCAAAGGGAACGACTCGCACCGACACCAAGAGCTTCAGCTTCCGTGGTTTTCCTAAAGCAACATCTTGACTACCCCCTGGGCTGACGGCAGCGGCGATGAAGACATGTGTGAAGGCGGCTTCCCAAATTCCAGGCGCTTCCCCAACCTTCAGACAGAGCAAACCAAATTAAGCTGACATGACAGCTGTGACAAACTGGCTAGCACCGGGGCCCACAGAGTTATAAGGGTGAACATCAAGAGTCGGGAGCAGGGTCTCACAGGGTCTCAATTTTCTCTCCTGTGAAATGAAGAAGAGGACACTGGCTACCTGGCTCTCAGATTCCAAGGTCACACAAAACGCCCAGTCTCAGACCCACTAGAAAAATCCATCTCTTACCTATTGTTTGTTTATTTTACAGCCTGGGCAACACAGTGAGACCCTGTCTCTACAAAAAATGCAAACAAAAATTAGCTGGGTGTGGTGGCCTGCATGTGTAGTCCCAGCTACTTGGGAGGCTGAGGTGGAAGGATCGCTTGAGCCCGGAAGGTGGAGGTTGCAGTGAGCCAAGATCATGCCACTGCAGTCTAGCCTGGGTGACAGAGCGAGACCCTGTCTCAAAAACAAGGCCAGGCATGATCACTCATGCTTGTAACCCCCAGCGCTTGGGAGGCCAAAGTGGGAGGATCGCCTGGAAAAATCAACCAGAAAACTCACCTCCAGAAATCTCAATGAGGAGCAGACTACAGTCTCAGAGGTCTATTCTCAAACTCAAAGCCAGGAGGTTTGAGACCAGTCTCAGCAACATAGCAAGACTTTCTATAAAACATAAAAAAAATTAGCCAGGGTGTGGTGTGCACCTGCGGTCCCAGCTACTTGGGAGGCTGAGGCAAGATGGCTTGAGTGAGCTGAGGAAGATGAGGCTGCAGTGAGCTATGGTCGCACCACTGCACTCCAGCCTAGGCGACTCAGCAAAATCTTGTCTCGTAGGGAAAAAAAAAAAAAAAAAAAACAGAAAAATTATTATGATTTTTTTTTGAGAGTCTCACTCTGTTGCCTAGACTGGAGTGCAGTGGTGCAACCTTGGCTCATTGCAACCTCCGCCTCCTGGGTTCAAGTGATTCTTGTGCCTGTCACCAGAGTAGCAGGGACTACAGGCATCCGCCACCATGCCTGGCTAATTTTCATATTTTTAGTAGAGACAGGGTTTCACCATGTTGCCCAGTTTGGTCTCATGAACTCCTGGCCTCAAGTGATCCACCCTCCTCTGCCTCCTGAAGTGCTGGGATTACAGGTCTCAGCCACTGCACCTGGCCTAAAAATCCACGTGTAAAGGTCTGAAAGTTATGTGCATGCCATGGAAAAGATTCTTAGTTTCCTGCCACGTGTCTGCTACAAACTCATCAGATTCCTATGGCTTGGGGCCCAGAGAAATGGCAGTCACACACCTTGCAGAATTCCTGAATCTGAAAGCTGCCCCCCTTTTTTTTTTTTTTCCTGAGACAAGGTCTGGCTTCATCACCCAGGCTGGAGCGCAGTGGCTGGGAACATGGCTCACTGTGGCCTCAACCTCCTGAGCTCAATTGATCCACTGGCCTCAGCCTCCCAAAGTGCTGGGATTACAAGTGCGAGCCACTGTGCCTGGCCCTGATTTTCTTTAGGCAAGAAAATCAATGACACTGTTAGAGGTCAGATCTGTGCTGTTCCATCGGGTGGCTGGTTTCAGGAACATAGGCTGGCTAGAACTCAAGCCAGTTTCTCAAAGGTTCTAGATTTAAAAAGGAAAAAAAAAGGCTGGTTGCAGCGGCTCACGCCTGTAATCCCAGCACTTTGGGAGGCCGAGGTGGGTGGATCACAAGGTCAGGAGATCAAGACCATCCTAACACGGTGAAACCCCATCTCTACTAAAAATACAAAAAACTAGCTGGGCGTGGTAGCACATGCCTGTAATCCCAGCTCCTCAGGAGGCTGAGGCAGGAGAATTGCTTGGACCTGGGAGGCAGAGGTTGCAGTGAGTTGAGATCATGCCACTGTACTCCAGCCTAGCCGACAGAGAAAGACTCTGTCTCAAAAAAAAAAAAAAAAAAAAAAAAAAAAATCTTCAGGCGAAGCAGAGCCGTGATTGATACTCAATTCCCCAAATAAGGGCTTTATTTTTATTTAACTACTAACTTTTTGATATGGAGTCTTGCTCTGTCGCCCAGGCTGCTGTGCAGAGGTACAATTTTGGCTCACTACAATCTCTGCCTCCAAGGTTCAAGTGATTCTCCTTCCTCAGCCTCCCGAGTAGCTAGGACTATAGGCACGTGCTACCATGCCTGGCTAATTTTTCTATTTTTTGGTGGAGATGGGGTCTTACCAATGTTGCCCAGACTGGTTTTGAACTCCTGACCTCAAGTGATCCACCTGCCTTGGCCTCCCAGACTGCTGGGATTACAGGCGTGCGACACCACACCTGACCCAAATAAGGGTTTTACAGAGGACATTCTCACAGTGAATGAGTAGTAGCTGTAGAATCAAATGACAAAAATGACCCTCTTGGCCAGGCATGGTATCCCACACCTGTCGTCCCAGCACTCTGGGAGGATGAAGGGTGAGGATCGCTTGAAGTTCAGAGTTTGAGACCAAACTCAGCAACATGGCAAAACCCTGTCTCTAGAAAAAAATACAACAACTTAGCCGGGTATGGTGGCACACACCTGTACTCCCAGCTACTCAGGGGACTGAGGTGGGAGGACTGTTTGAGCCGGGAGGCAGAGGGTGAGCCATGGTCCTGCCATCGTAGTCTAGCCTGGGTGACAGAGTGAGACCCTGTCTCACAAAACAAGACCCTCTCCAGCCCTTTGTCCAAGCCACAAGACACCTCCTAATGCTGCCTGCAGGGAGCAGAGGAGAGGATAAGGTTTGCTGAAATAATCCTATAACTTAAAAAGACACATGGCTGTGGGTTGGGGGTGAGTGTTTCTTGCCTGGGGCAGGCGGGTTCTCCCTGCAAGCGAGAGGTTTATTAGAAGGTACTGACCCCTTATCGCCCAAAGGCACACTGCTGCTGCTCGGCCGTCTCTCACCACCATCTCTGTTCTTGCTGCTCCGCCCAGAGGCTGGGCCACCTGTTCGGTTTGGGGACTGATCGTACACGAGGTTCCGGCAGGAAGCGAGTTTGGACTCCAGTGCCTGGAGAGAAATACACTTTTATCTTTCAAGTTATAGGCAAGGACTATTCTGTCTTACCAGAGCCCATACAAAAGAACGAACCCCAGAAAGTGGTTCTCAAACTGCTGTGCACTGGAATTCCAAAGTGGGACCCCAAGAAGAATCCAATGTATATGCCAGTCTCAGAACCAAGCACCTTAAGTATCTGGGAGCTGGCTGGGCACAATGGCTCACACCTGTAATCCCAGCACTCTGGGAGGCCAAGGCAGGAGGATGGCTTGAGCCCAGGAGTTTGAGACCAGCCTCGGCCACAAAGAGAGATCCCATCTCAGTTTTTTTTTTTTTTTTTTAAACTTTTTTAGTCAAGGTCTCACTGTGTCACCCAGGCTGGAGTGCACTGGTGAGATCACAGCTCACCGCAGCCTCAACCTTCCAGGCTCAACCAATCCCTCCCACCTCAGCCTCCTGAGCAGCTGGGATTATAGGCGTCCGCAATCATGCCCAGCTAATAAAAAAAACTTTTTTAATGCAAAAACTCTTTTAATTACAAAAAATTTTTTTAAATGTTTGGGAGCTTCCTGGAAAAAGATAACAGCTCACTGCAGCCTCAACCTCCCAGGCTCAGGCAATCCTCCCACCTCAGCCTCCTGAATAGCTAGGACTATGCACAATCATGCTCCACAAAAAAAAAAAAAAAAAAAAAAAAAAATTAATGAAAAAAATTTTTTTAATTACAAAGAAATGAAAAAAATGGGAGCTTTCTGGAACATCACTAACCTAACCAATTATCCAACTCCACTCGTAGAAAGTAAGAAATCCACTTCTGGAATCCTTCACTCTTTCCTTTACATTGTTAAACCTCTGCAGAATGGCTGGAAGTTTGACAAGGACTTGGTCTGGCTGCAACAGACCCTGAGGAAACCAAAAGGACACTGACAGCACCCCGGGCTTCTCTATACTCCAACGAGGCTAAATATCGAAATGCGGACCCGTTTCTAGAATAGCAAACCAGGCAGCCAAAAGCCAGGAGTAAAAACACAGAAGAAATGAGTTGCAAGCTTCTACTAAGTTGTAGCTATGAATACACTGTGTACAGTGACAACTTGGTAGGAGTTAAATGATGTGGCCTTCCAGGAATCATTTTTAAAAATAAACTACAAAGAATACCTATGTTATTGCTTAAGCACAAAAGGATCCCTCCCTATAATTAACATAAAAGCTGAAAGGCCAAGTTCTTTACCTTAGGCTTTCAAGATTGATTGATTGACTGATTGAGATCAAGTCTCACTGTCACCCAGTGGCATGATGTCAGCTCACTGCAACCTTTTTCTCCCGGATTCAAGCAATTTTCCTGCCTCAGCCTCCCAAGTAGCTGGGATTATAGGCGCCCGCCACCACGCCTGGCTAATTTTGTATTTTTAGTAGACATGGGGTTTCACCATGTTGGCCAGGCTGGTCTTGAATTCCTGACCTCAGGTGATCCACCCATCTCGGCCTCCCAAAGTGTCAAGATTCTCTTAAACCCTGAGAAACAACCAAAAAAAAAAAGCGGCAGTTTTTTTCTTTCCTGAGACAATGTCGTGCTGTCACCCAGGATGGAGAGTAGTGGTGCAATCTTAGCTCACTCAGCCTCAACCTCCCAGGCTCAAGCAATCCTGCCACCTCTTGGCCTCCTTAGTAGCTGGGACCACCAGTATGCACACCACCAGGCCTGGCTAATTTTTGCATTTTTGTAGAGGCAAGTCGGGGCAGGGGGTTTCACCATACTGCCCAAGCTGGTGTCAAACTCCTGAGCTTAAGTGACCCTCCCAAACTACTGGGATTGTAGGTATGAGCCACTGCACCCAGCCAAAAGAGAAGGCCGTTTCTAAACACTCCTCAGTTTTTCAAATTAAGGAAAAAACTCATCTTAATTTCCCAAATTGCCTAGAGGAAAAATGGTAAAAGGAAAGAGACATACACAGAGTTCAGAGCAATGCTTAGAGTCAGAGCTCTGAGTGTCTGGCAGTAACTCCCACAGAAAGTGCTAATGATTCCCAGGGATGCTAAAGGAGCAGCCACATCTAAAACTCACCACATTGCTATTAAAGGGGTTGGACGCATTGGCTGATGCCTGTAATCCCACAACTTTGGGAGGCCAACCTGGGAGGATCCCTTGAGGCCAGGAATTTAAGACCAGCCTGGGCAACACAGCAATACCCCCATTACTACAAAAAATGAAAACATCAGCCAGGCATGGTGGCGCACACCTGTGGTCCAAGTTACTCGGGAAGCTAAGGCCGGAGGATCGCTTGAGACCAGGAGTTTGAGGAGTTCAAGGTTGCAGTGAATTGTGATCATACCACTACACTCCAGCCTGGGCAACAGAGCAAGACCCTGTCTCTTAAAAAAGGAAAAAAATAAGAGGGCAGGAACTAGATCAACCCCCTTTCACACATCCTGAAAGACAGGCAGGAAGGCACCAAATACCAGAAAAGTGTGTTCTTACCCCAACTTTCCGCAGTAGGTCTCCCACGATGTTGAGGGCTGATATCCGGGCCGCAGGCGTGAGGGGAGTTCCCCCAGTGGAGTCATCCAGGCCTGGGTGTGCAAAGGGAAGAGCATATAACTCACCAACCTATAGTCATGTCCGTGAACTAACATCACTAGGTTCCAAACCACAGGACAGGAGGGGCGCTAACGCCTTTCCTCAGATCCCAAAAGCTACCCTATTTCTTTCCGTAGTTAACTGCATCACACGCCCAAGGCCTATATGACAACCAATTTTTCAAGTCCTTGTGATGACTGCAACAAATATTTATTTTTACATGTTAGTCTTTAAAAGTTTTTTTTTTTTTTTTTTAGACGTTGTCTTGCTGTCACCCAGACTGGAGTGCAGTGATGTGATCTCGGCTCACCGCAACCTCCACCTCCCAGGTTCAAGCGATTCTCCTGCCTTGGCCTCTTGAATAGCTGGGATTACAGCCATGTGCCACCACACCCGGCTTATTTTTATATTTTTTATAGAGAGAGTTTCACCACGTTGTCTAGGCTGGTCTCGAACTCCTGACCTCAAATGATCCGCCCACCTTGGCCTCCAAAAGTGCTGGGATTACCGGCATGAGCCATCATGCCTGGCCTTTTAAAAAAATTTTTTTTTGAGAGAGATAGGGTGTCACTATGTTGCCCAGGCTGATCATGAACTCCTGGTCTCAAGCGATCTTCCCACCTCTGCCTTTCCAAGGTTGGTATTTACAGGCATGAGCCACCGTGCCCAGCCATATTAGTCTTTTTAAAAAAACCCAAAACAAATCCTTTTGAAATTGTAGGAAATCCATATAATTAATTAACATAATGGCATCGGTGATAGATATAAGAACTATATAGACAGGATGATCCAGCTTTACAAGGGTTCAGCTCTGCAAGCCTCTCTTGTCCAAGTGGGGTCCATGCACCAGCAGCACCTGAGAACTCTTAGAAATGCAGAATCTCTCGGCCAGGCATAGTAGCTCACACCTGTAATCCCAGTGCTTTCGGAGGCCAAGGCATGGAGTTGCATGCCTCTAGTCCCAGCTACTCAGGAGGCTGAGGCAGGAGGATCACTGGAGCCCAGGAGTTGGAGGCTGCAGTGAGCTAAGATTGCACCACTGCATTTCAGCCTGGGCCACAGACCAAGACTGTGTCTCTAAAGGAAAAAAACAAAACAAAACAAAACAAACAAACAATGAAATAAAGTATGCAAAATGGCTCTAGACTGGGGCCAGGCACAACAGCTCACACCTGTACTACCACCACTTTCAGAGGCTGAGGCAGGCAGATTACCTGAGGTCAGGAGTTTGAGACCAGCCCGGCCAACATGGTGAAACCCCTTCTCTACTAAAAATACAAGATTAGCCAGGCTTGGTGGTGGGTGCCTGTAATCCAAGCTTACTCGGGAGGCTGAGGCAGGAGAATCACTTGAACCCGGGAGGAAGGTGTTGCAGTAAGCCAAGATCGCACCACTGCACTCCAGCCTGGGTGACAGAGCGAAACTCCATCTCAACAAAACAAAACAAAAGGGCCCTGGCACTGGGATTCTAACAAGTCTCACTGGTCTCTTCATGCCCAGGGGACAAGCTAAGGGATGAGGCAGTAGATGGTAGGGTAAGATCTGGAGCCTGCCTGCCTGGGTCTGAATCCCAAACCATCTGCCATTCAATTACTTTATGACTCTGCTTAACTCAGGGCCTCACTTCCATCCTGGGCCTGCGGCGAAGGCTGCACGGTGGCCAGCACACACTGAGCACCCCATAACTGTCTTATTAATATCTGCTGTAAAAGGCCTGATTGGAAGCTGTCGGCAGAGGGTCTGGGGTGAGAATTCAGATTTTTTTCCCCACCCACGCAGCACAGGTTACACTGAGTCTAGCTGTCGGTGGATGCATTACCAAACCCACAGAATGCTTTTTACTTTTTTGTATTTGGTTAGTGACATTTCAAATTTGGGAGGTTTTATATTCAAAAAGAGGATTTTGGGCCAGACGCAGTGGCTCACGCCTGTAATCCTAGCACTTTGGGATCAGCCAAAGCAGGCAGATCACTTGAGTCCAGGAATTTGATAGTAGCCTGGGCTTGCCATGTCTCCACCTAAAATACAAAAGTTAGCCAGGTATGGTGGCGCACACCTTTACTCCCAGCTACTCCGGAGGATGAGGTGGGAGAATCACTTGAGCCCATGACGCAGAGGTCACAGTGAGCCAAGATCATGTCACTGCACTCCAGCCTGGGTGACACAGTGAGATCCTGTCTCAAAAAAAACCAACAACAAAAAAAGAGCATTTCTGGCTTTGAAGAATGGAAAAAACTGCAGATGAGGGGCCGTTCCTTCTAGTGCAGAGTAGCAGCCACCCGCTTTGGGTGGGGTTTCCATTTCCCAGTGCATCACAGACTCCACTACTCCCTCACACCCACTCCTCACTCATCTCAATTGCCCATCCCCAGGAACATCCCAGTCTACTCTCTGCTCAAAGCCTGAGAGTATATCAGGCTCTGAGCCTGGTGCAAATCATCACACACCCAGGACCCACCCCAGATTCTTACCCAGAAACACTTTGTGAACCGAGAAAATTCTCCAATTCCCACTCCCCTTACCACGTCTGAAGCTCCCGGGCGTGTTTAAACTCGAGCTGGGTCCTCGGTGAGCGATGGGCGTGGACGGCACAGAGCCCGTGGCCTGCACAGCTGTGTCTGTCCTCTCAGCTTCCACTGAGCTGGGCATGGGGGTCCTGGGTTTCTCCTGCTTCTGCTGCACGGCCAGTTCCTGCCGCAAATCTGTGCCAGGAAAAGGATTCAGGAATTCAAGTCCTCAGCCAGGCGCCGTGGCTCATGTTTATAATGCCAGCACTTTGGGAGGCCAAGGCTGGTGGATCATCCAAGGTCGAGTTTGAGCCCAGCCTGACCAACATGGTGAAACCCCATCTCTATAGAAAATGCAAGGCCGGGCGCGGTGGCTCAAGCCTGTAATCCCAGCACTTTGGGAGGCCGAGGCAGGCGGATCACGAGGTCAGGAGATCGAGACCATCCTGGCTAACACGGTGAAACCCCGTCTCTACTAAAAATACAAAAAACTAGCCGGGCGCGGTGGCGGGCGCCTGTAGTCCCAGCTACTTGGGAGGCTGAGGCAGGAGAATGGCGGGAACCCGGGAGGCGGAGCTTGCAGTGAGCTGAGATCCGGCCACTGCACTCCAGCCTGGGTGACAGAGCAAGACTCCGTCTCAAAAAAAAAAAAAAAAAAAAAAAAAAAAAAGAAAAGAAAATGCAAAAACCAGCCAGGCATGGTGGTAGGCACCTGTAATCTCAACTACTCAGGAGGAAGAGGCACGAGAATCACTTGAATCTGGAAGGCCAGGTGGCACTGAGCTGAGATTGCTCCAGTGCACTCTAGTCTAGGTGACAAGAGCAAGACTCCGTCTCAAAAAACAAAAAGGGAATTTAAGCCCTGGCTTAGGGTGGGTGGGGTGCAGGTATAGAGGTTCAACAGTAGATACTGGTCAGAAAAAAGACCTACTGGGGTGAAACACTCCAGGTAGAAACTCCAAATAAAGGGAAACCCACAGGACCTTGCCTAGCAGACTTACAACTCTACAGGATTTTTCTCTTGACTAAAAAAATAGTTTCAGATTTTTAAAAAGCTATGACAGTGACACACTAATGCTTTTATTATTGAAAAAACAATTCCAACATAGCAGTGTATTTAGAATACTAAATGAAAGTATGCCCAGGAGCAGTGGCTCATGCCTGCAATCCCAGCACTTTGGGAGGCTGAGGTGCAAGAATCTCGTTAATCCAAGAGGTCAAGGTTGCAGTGAGCCATGATTGTGCCACTCCACCCCGGGTGACAGAGACCTCTGGCAAAAAAAAAAAGAAAAGGCCAGACGCAGTGGCTCACGCCTATAATCCCAGCACTCTGAGAGGTCGAGGTGGGAGGGTCGCTTGAGGTCAGGAGTTTGAAGCCAACATGGCAAAACCCCGTCCCTGTTAAAAATACAAAAAATTAGCCATACATGGTGGCGTGCGCCTGTAGTCCCAGCTGCTTGGGAGGCTGAGGCAGGACAATTGCTTGAGCCTGGGGGACCGAGGTTATAGTGAGCTGAGATCACGCCACTGCACTCCAGCCTCTGTGACAGAGCAAGACTGTCTCAAAAACAAAGTATGCTTTCCAGACTATCCCCAAACACTCCTCATTCATAATCACCATAACAAATGGGAGAGCTTTCAACCATTGTTCTCTGAATTATTATTATTTTTGAGATGGAGTTTCACTCTGTTGCCCAGGCTGGAGTGCAATGGCACAATCTCGGCTCACTGCAACCTTTGCCTCCCGGGTTCAAGTGATTCTCCTGCCTCAGTCTCCTAAGTAGCTGGGATTACAGGCACGCACCACCATGCCTGGCTTTTTTTTTTTTTTTTTTAAACAGAGACGGGGTTTCACCATGTTGTCCAGGCTGGTCTTGAACTCCTGACCTCAGGTGATCCACCCACCTCGGCCTCCCAAAGTGCTGGGATTACAGGCATGAGCCACTGTGCCTGGCTGTTCTCTCCATTTTCAAACATAAACTTTGTAACATACATATATATCTACTGAGCATAAAATAAGAACATTTTTTATTAAGCATTACTGAAACATACAATATCTTGTCCTGTGTATGACTTACTCTCCCACCTTCAGTGGTATGTCTTGGCAATGTTTTTTATTTTAGAGACAGGGTCTGACTCAGTCACCCAGGCTGCGGTGCAGTGGCACAATCATAGCTCAAGGTAACCTTGAACTCCTGGGCTCAAGTCATCCTCCCACTTCAGCCTCCTAAGTACTTGGGACTACAGGCATATGCCACCAGGCCTAGCTAATTTTTACACTTCATTTTTGTAGAGATGGGGTCTCACTATGCTGTCCAAGCTCATCTTGAACTCCTAGGCTCAAGCAATCCTCTTGCGTCCATCTCTCAAAGCACTGAGATTACAGGCATCAGCCACTGTGCCTAGCCTTGGCAATTTTTCTACCACAATATTGTTCATTTAAACAATTTTTTAATATTTCACATAATAAATCTATGTACTTCATTTAACCACTTCATGACTGATGGACATCTAGGAACAACTACTTTATTAAACTTAGGAATTTTTACTTTTCATCCCCCACCTACTGGTTACACATTACAAAGCAAATTGACGTTATAAACAATTTATTGGGCTGGTAACAGTAACTAACCCCTGTAATCCCAGCACTTTGGGAGGCCGAGGCAGGCAGATCACCTGAGGTCAGGAGTTCAAGAGCAGCCTGGGCAACATGGTGAAACCCCGTCTCTATTAAAAAATACTAAAAATTAGCCAGGCATGGTGGCGTACACCTGTAGTCCCAGCTACTCGGAAGGCTGAGGCAGGAGAATCGCTTGAACCCGGGAGGCAGAGGTTGCAGTGAGCAGAGATAGCACCACTGTACTCCAGCCTGCACAACAGATGAAGACGCCATCTCAAAAAAAAAAAAAAAAAAAAAAAAAAAAGATAGGATAAAAACAACTTGGACAATCCACTAATGAATGTCTTTTTTTTTCTTTTTTGAGACAGAGTCTCACTCTGTCACCTAGGCTGGAGTACAGTGATGCAATCTTGGCTCACTGCGACCTCCACCTCCCAGGTTCAAGCAATTCTCCTGCCTCAGCCTCCTGAGCAGCTGGGATTACAGGCATCCGCCACCACACCCTGCTCATGTTTTCTATTTTTAGTAGGGATGGGGTTTCTCTATTTCCAGGCTGGTCTCGAACTCCTGAGCTCAGGTGATCTGACTGCCTCAGCCTCCCAAAGTGCTGGGATTACAGGTATGAACTACTGTGTTGGCCAAATACCTCATTACAGTCTGAACATTCTACCTCTGCAAGTGCCGACTGCTAAACAGCAAATGCTGACGAGGTTTCCAAGTTCTAAACCAAATATATCGGTTGCCATCAAGTCACAGAAATAATAGGCTAGCTGGCAATTCCACCAGAAATTTCTCCCCATAAAATCTCTTCTTAAGAGACAGGGTCTCATTCTGTCACGTAGGCTGGAGTGCACTGGTGCCATCATAGCTCGTGGCAGGCTCCACCTCCTGGGCTCAAGTGATCATCCCACCTTGGCTTCCTGAGTAGCTGGGACTACAGGCACATGTCACCACACCCAGCTAATCTTTAATTTTTTTTTGTAAAGATGGAGTCCCATTATACTGCCTAAGGTGGTCTCGAACTCCTGGGCTCAAGAGATCCTCGGCCACCCAAAGTACTGGGATTACAGGTGTGAGCCACTGTGCCAGGCTCTCCCCACAACACTATTCTGTTCCTACTGAGCATCAGGATGGTTTGCTGTGTGTGTGAATTACAGACCAGGAAGCACCTTTCTGGAAACTGGAAATTCTGCTGCCCAGAGGCAGAACCCCAATACAAGGACTTCATCTGTGAACCCCAAAGCTATTTCTCTAAATACCCATAAGGGGCCCTTACAGGGTTGCATGTCTTACTGTTCTCAGCTCCGGCCAGGGCCCAAGGCAAGAGTCTGCCCGGTACAGCCCCACACCCTCTGACTACACAGCCTGGCACAGAGCAGGGTGCAGGGTCCCTGTAAAGATAATGCTGGGAGAGGCTGTGGGACTAGATGTTGCTCAGGCAGGGAATGGGGACCATGCTGGTGAAGACGCCAAGGCTTCCTGACCTCTGGCTTCATCCTTCAGTCTCTGAACAGATTCCAGGAGATTCTCTTTTTCATCAAGTTCACTTTCCAAGAAGGCGTTTCTTTCGATGGCCTGATTCAAGCGCTGCTCAAAGTCTTCGAGAGACATGATCGTGGCACTGGGGAAGAGAAAAGCAGAGTTATCCAAGAGGACAAACTGCGGACATCCCTCTAGCACTGCGGATCCACGTGGTGTGAAGGGTCAGACACACCTGGACACAAGTCCCAGCACCAAACCTCCTAGATGCCACAGAGCGGGCCGAGTCCCTTAACCTGCTGGGGCATGGGCTCTTCACCTGCATAATAGGACTCCTCATAGCTCATGAGGTACACAAGGCTGTCGTGAGGATTAAATAAGGTGCCGCCCACACAGCACTCAGCAACAAGCCAAAGCCCTATCAGGACTGCATGTGTTTGAGAAGAGCAGTATGCTCTATTTTCTCTTGCAAGCTCACAATGCCAACCGGCATTATAAATGTTAGACCTAATACCATAAAAACCCTAGAAGAAAACCTAGGTAGTACCATTCAGGACATAGGCATGGGCAAAGACTTCATATCTAAAACACCAAAAGCAACGGCAGCAAAAGCCAAAATTTACAAATGGGATCTAATTAAACTAAAAAGTTTCTGCACAGCAAAAGAAACTACCATCAGAGTGAACAGGCAACCTACAGAATGGGAGAAAATTTTTGCAATCTACTCATCTGACAAAGGGCTAATATCCAGAACCTACAAAGAACTCAAACAAATTTACAAGAAAAAAACAACCCCATCAAAAAGTGGGCAAAGGATATGAACAGACATTTCTCAAAAGAAGACATTCATACAGCCAACAGACACATGAAAAAATGCTCATCATCACTGGCCATCAGAGAAATGCAAATCAAAACCACAGTGAGATACCATCTCACACCAGTTAGAATGGCGATCATTAAAAAGTCAGGAAACAACAGGTGCTGGAGAGGATGTGGAGAAATAGGAACACTTTTACACTGTTGGTGGGATTGTAAACTAGTTCAACCATTATGGAAAACAGTATGGCGATTCCTCAAGGATCTAGAACTAGATGTACCATATGACCCAGCCATCCCATTACTGGGTATATACCCAAAGGATTATAAATCATGCTGCTATAAAGACACATGCACATGTATGTTTTTTGCGGCACTATTCACAATAGCAAAGACTTGGAATCAACCCAAATGTCCATCAGTGACAGACTGGATTAAGAAAATGTGGCACATATACACCATGGAATACTATGCAGCCATAAAAAAGGATGAGTTTGTGTCCTTTGTAGGGACATGGATGCAGCTGGAAACCATCATTCTTAGCAATCTATCACAAGAACAGAAAACCAAACACCGCATGTTCTCACTCATAGGTGGGAACTGAACAATGAGATCACTTGGACTCGGGAAGGGGAACATCACACACCGGGGCCTATCATGGGGAGGGGGGAGGGGGGGAGGGGGGAGGGGGGGGGGGGGAGGGATTGCATTGGGAGTTATACCTGATGTAAATGACGAGTTGATGGGTGCTGGCTGATGAGTTGATGGGTACAGCACACCAACATGGCACAAGTATACATATGTAACAAACCTGCACGTTATGCACATGTACCCTAGAACTTAAAGTATAATAATAATAAAAAATAAAAATAAAAATAAAAAACCTAATAATGACTGGGCATGGTGGCTCATGCCTGTAATCCCAGCACTTTGGGAGGCCAAGGCAGGTGGCTGTCCTGAGGTCAGGAGTCCAAGACCAGCCTGGCAAGCTTGGGCAAATGGCAAAACCCTGTCTCTACTAAAAATACAAAAATTAGCCAGTTGTAGTGTGATCCCAGCTACTTGGGAGGCAGAGGTGGGAGAACTGCCAGCAAGCGGAGGTTGCAGTGAGCCAAGATTGTGCCACTGCACTCCAGCCTAGGCAACAAAGTGAAACTCCATCTCAAAAAAAAAAAAAAGAAAAAGAACCTAATAAAAAACACATACAGTAGCACGATTTTTTTTCCTTAAAAAGACAGCTGTGTCTGTCAGGTCGAAGTGCAGTGGTACAATCACAGCTCACTGCAATCTCAAACTCTTGGGCTCAAGCGATCCTCCCGCCTCAGCCTCCTGAGTTACTGAGATTACAGGCATGAAGCACTGTGCTGGGCATAAGATGCATTTCAGCAGGTAGAAGAGATCATATTTAACCTCTCAGTGGAAGTTCAAAATGCATAGTACCAGCCCAACTGCCCTGCTCACAACCCCTTCTTGTGAAGGGCACAGACACTGTGGTAAAGGCACTGCAAAGTGCTGTAACAAAACAACCTACTTTGATTCTGGGAAAACCACCTTCTCTGCACCTCAGTTTTCTCTCATGCAAAGCAAGGGTAGTAACAGTACCTTCCTGAAGGGTTGTAACGGGGCAGCGGTGGCAAGAAGTAGTCACACAGGCTGGGCGTGGTGGCTCACGCCTGTAATCCCAGCACTTAGGGAGGCCAAGGCGAGTGGATCACTCGAGGTCAGGAGTTCAAGTCCAGCCTGGCCAACGTGGTGAAACCTCATCTCCATTAAAAATACAAAAATTAGCCGGGCATGATGGCGCACATGTGTAGTCCCAGCTGCTCGGGAGGGTGAGGCAGGAAAATTGCTTGAACCCAGGAGGTGGATGTTGCAGTGAGCTGAGATCGTGCCACTACACTCCAGCTTGGGCAACAGAGCAAGACTGTTTCCAAAAAAAAAAAAAAAATCATACAGGAAGCACACAACAGATGTTTTACACATAAGCACACATCTACAAATGTCTGCAATTTTTATTATTGACCCTATGTCTGTCCCCAGACCTTTAATATCCTGCTAACTGTATCCCACGGTGGTTAGAAGCACGTGTTTGGAGAGGAACCCAGGAGTTAACACCCAGCTCCTCCTCCATCTAGAACTCACTGGGTATCATTGGGCAACTCGATCTCCCTCATCCTCAGTTCCTTCAATCACAAAATTCATAACTGCACTGGTCAATGGCTGCATCAGTTCATTTCTTCAATATATCCTTCTATGTCTAGGTGGACTCATAGGAGTACCTACCCTCACAGGGTCTTTAGAAGTAGTGGATAGGATCAAGTTACCACAGTACCATTTAAAAACAACAAAGGGACAGGCACAGCGGTTCGTGCCTATAATCCCAGTACTTTGGGAAGCCAAGGTGGGAGGACCCCTCGAGGCCCAGGGTTCAAGACCAGCCTGGGTAATATAGTGACAACCTGTCTCTACAAAAAGTAAAAAGACTAGCCGGGCATGATGGCGTGTGCCTGTAGTCCCAGCTACTCGAAGGCTGAGGTAGGAGGATTGCTTGAGCCCAGGAACTCGAGGGTGCAGTAAGCCATGATTATGCCACTGCACTCCAGCCTGGGTAACAGTGCCAGACCCTGTCTCAAAAAACAAACGAAAACAAACAAAAAAACACACTACTACCAATAACAAAGGGATAATACTTTGGAGTACAATACCAGAAACAGTTAAAACGACCCTAAGGTTGACATGTCAAACAAAAAAGGTAAAAGATTCACATAATAATATATAGGGTACAGAATGCTTGCAGAAATGCAGACATGCTGAGTATATATAGAGGAAGACCCAGTATCACACAGAAATTAGTTGTCCACAAGTTAAACTGATAAATTTAACACTATCTTAATAGGTTTCTATTGGGGGAATAAATTGGACTGATTTGAGAGATGCTGTGACGATGAAACAAGAATGACCCGAAGAACTCTGTAAAAGAAGAGATCAGGGAACTAACTCTACCAGAGACTCAGAACACACTACTATAAAGCCTCAACAACGAACAATTGTATGCTACTGGTTGTAAGAACAAAGGAACCAAAGGTCCAGAAATAGACAAGAGTTTAATTTATAATAAAGGTGGCCTCATAGATCATTGGCAAAAAGATGGCAGGTTCAGTTCTAGTTTTAGGAACCACTGGGTACCTACCAGGAAAACATTATTAGATTCATACCTCATACTGTACCCTAACACAAATTCCGAATGAATTGGAAATTTTAACACACTCATTATCTGGTCAAAATCTGTTTTGCTTCTGGAATGCGAGGGAACCGGGGACCAGCTTCAGTGGCTTTTTTTTTTTAAGATGGAATTTCGCTCTTGTCAACCAGGCTGGAGTGCAATGGTGCTCACCCAGGCAGAGTGCAACCTCTGCCTCCTGGGTTCAAATGACTCTTCTGCCTCAGCCTCCCAAGTAGCTGGGATTATAGGCATGTGCCACCATATCCGGCTTATTTTTGTAGTTTTAGTAGAGACAGCATTCCATCATGTTGGCCAGGCTGGTCTCAAACTCCCAACCTCAGGTGATGCACCCACCTCTGCCTCACAAAGTGCTGGGATTATAGGTGTGAGCCACCACGCCTGGCCCTTCAGTGGCATTTCTGAATTTCCCTGTAGCCTCGACACCCTGGGTTTAAGTCATCCTTTCACTTTTTTTTTTTTTTTTTTTTGAGATGAAGTCTCTGTTGCCCAGGCTGGAGTGCAATGGCACAATCTCAGCTCACTGCAACCTCCGCCTCTCGGGTTCAAGTGATACTCCTGCCTCAGCCTCTTGAGTAGCTGGGATTACAGGTGCCTGCCACCACGCCTGGCTAATTTTTGTATTTTTAGTAGAGAGATGGTTTCACCATCTTTGCCAGGCTGGTCTCCAACTCCTAACTTCAGGTGATCCACCCGCCTCGGCCTCCCAAAGTGCTGGGATTACAGGCATGAGCCACGGTGCCTGGTGATCCTTTCACCTTCTTACCTCAATCTCCCAAGTAGTTGTAACCACAGGCACAAGCTATCATACCCGGCTAGTTTTTAAATTTGTTTCTAGAGATGGGAGTCTATGTTGCCCAGGATGGCCTCAAACTCCTGGGCTCAAGCAATCCTCAAGTCTCGGCCTCCCAAAGTACTAAGAATACAGATTACAGACTTGAGCTATCTCACATGGCCTATTTACTTTCAAATAAAGGTCAGCATGCTAGTTGTAACTGGAGTGAAAATTGATTTATGTACTTTATATGTTGAAATTCTGTCAACTAATATATAAAAGCATAATTAGTGCCTCTAATCCCAGCAAT